GATGATAGTAGGCTAGTTTAATTGATTTGTTACAGACTCGGTGCGTCCTGTTCATAGCTATAGACAAGTGGGGCCGGTTAAGTCTCTACTTTTCACCATGTGCGTTAATTTTCACCAAACGCTCTAGTAGTAGGCTTTACTTTGTTAGTAGATGATAGTAGGCTAGTTTAATTGATGTGTTACTGGCTCGGTGCGTCCTGTTCATAGCTCTGGACAAGTGGGGCCGGCTAAGTCTCAACTTTTCACCATGTGCGTTAATTTTCACCAAACGCCTGAGGAGTAGACTTAACTTTGTTAGTAGATGATAGTAGGCTAGTTTAATTGATGTGTCACTTGCTCGGTGCGTCATGTTCATAGCTCTGTACAAGTGGGGCCGGTTAAGTCTCTACTTTTCACCATGTGTGTTAATTTTCACCAAACGCCTAAGGAGTAGACTTAACTTTGTTAGTAGATTTTAGTAGGCTAGTTTAATTGATTTTAATTGGTGTTGCCACATCGTTTTGAGAGAAAAGGAATTCTAATTCGATGTGGCAACGGCGCACGCTAATAGTTTCCAGCGACAAACTCTTAATTGTGATCAAAATTCAAAATTCTGGCCACGGTGTTTGATTTTTGTGACTACTCCGCATCAAACACTGTGGTCAAAATTTTAAATACTGACCACAGTGAAGAGGTTGTCGCTGGACAAAAATAGCGATATTTAAGCGACTGTACGAATAACCGCTTTGGAAAAAACGTCTATTAACCTTGCCTACTATCGTCTACTAACAAAGATAAGTGTAAAACTTGTTCGTTTGGTGAAAATTAACGCGAATGGTAAAAAGTAGGAACTTAACCGGCCCCCTTGTCCATAGCTATGAACAAGCAGGCCCGCCCTTCAACCAAACGAAGTTGCCAGCTTCGCTTCGCTGCGCCGGCAACTTCGTTCGGCAGGGGCCGGGCCTGCTTGGCCTGCCGGCGGCGATGGTCGGGCCTGCGGCCCGACCACTTCTGTCACGCGATTTGCTGTAGAACATAATCAAATGATGTAACGGGCCTTCGGCCCGCAAAGCCCGTTGTTCTTAAAATTTGGTCCGTAGACACGAGAAAGGGATGTAACGGTGAAACACCGCGACTACAACCCACCCTTCTGCTTAGAAAACCTTTTTTTTTGGGTTGGGGGGAGGGAGTTTCTTACCTTTTTTGCGGTTTTGGGCCTTCTTTTACATTTAATTGTTCACTACAGCAATTTTTAACTTATTTTCGTCAAACAAGACCCTCTAGCGCCTAAACGGTTGGAGATAGAGCCAAACGGACGAAATTTTCTTTTACAGGGCTCTATTTTTGCAAGTTACCCCTAAG